GTAATTTTGAAATAAAGATTTTTAGATTTAGAGGGCGGAGCGGAAGGCACTACTTCTCACGGTCCAACCTCTTCCGGTCCTCTTTCCAGCTTCCCGTGCAACATGGTGAGTGTGCCTTCATGGCGGCCGTGTGGCAAAAACAGAATTTAATGTCATTATAATCGTTTAATCACCCCAAATCACCTCGTATTGGGTATTTTAATCATATAGCCAAATCACAGTGTGAGAAATATTCCTTAGGTGTCACTTAAATTTATTAAAAAATAAGTCTGGGCCTAATGCTAGCTGTTAGCAGGCTAACCGTTTTGTGCATGTGTTCCAGTAAGCTAGCGAGAGATGATGGCCTTGAAAATATGCTGAGAAACACAGCGAAGACAAAGGATTCAAAATGTAGAATTTCTCACGATGATATATATTAATGTGTCAGCTTAAGACTACGGGGCCACTTAGAACTAGTCACCGTAATTGTGTTGTAATGGAAGCCGGTTCGAGACACCGCAGCCATCACATGTATGTAGTGATCTGATGTTACTGTTTTAAAATAAGTTACCGATATACAGACATTAGTTAATGGATTAAGGTCATTCTACGAAATACTGATTAAACCCACCCTAAATGATTATTACTTTTGTTTGAATGGTAAACTTGATGACTAAATGTAGAGGGTTGTGTTTTGACTTCCTGTCATTTTCTTTCTTAACCTGTTGAAGCTGTGGTACTATCTTTTTAAAAGCTTGTGGGAATTAAAGTATTAGTAGATTAAATTAACTGTGCAACATTTAGGTGATTTTCTGTGCCCAGTGTTAATTCAGTTAAAAACACAGTATGGGGCACAGACTTGGATATAAGATGGCACTGTTATTATTAATTTTTGAGGCGACATGTTTCTCAAAAGTCCTTTTTAAATGTATTAAAAGAAGTTTAAGGTAGTAAATGCCAGTTTGTGATACTTGGTAGTTTTGAAATACTTGATGCTGCTGAGACTTTATGTACCAAAGAAGTATTGGTTTAGCTGTTGGGCTGTGATTTGTCTCCTTTCTAACTGTGGCATTTCTTTACAGACCAAGAAGAGAAGGAATAACGGTCGTGCCAAGAAGGGCCGTGGCCACGTGCAGCCCATCCGCTGCACCAACTGTGCCCGTTGTGTCCCTAAGGACAAGGCCATCAAGAAGTTTGTCATCAGGAACATAGTGGAGGCTGCGGCCGTGAGGGACATCACAGAGGCCAGTGTCTTTGACTGTGAGTGCATTTCTTTTTCAAGTTACATGTCATCGTTAGTTGTCTCTGAGTTACCGTGGTGGCTTGCCCTCATCTTAACGATTCTTCTGTTATGTTTACTCTGCAGCTTATGTTCTACCCAAGCTCTATGTGAAGCTGCACTACTGTGTGAGCTGCGCCATCCACAGTAAAGTGGTGAGGAACCGCTCCTGTGAGGCCAGGAAAGACCGCACCCCACCACCCAGGTTCAGGCCCGCTGTGAGTATCTTCCTCTACCACTTCTCACTCTGACATCTCTCCACTTGGTGCATGTATAGGTCCTGTTTGTGCATGTGTGTATTTTGGACCTGTGTGTAATTGACAATTGGGGATTAATAAAGTATATAAATAAAATTAAAACTGTAGATCTCACGGTGGATCATTTGATTGGTCATTACCAAAAAAGCGCAGGTGTAACTAATATGTAATGATGATTTTTGTTGCATTTATATTAGTCAGTAAACAGAATGTTGGTACTGGCACACCTGAATGCAACCATTAATATGATTTTGGTACATGTGTGACAGTGAGAAAGGTCTATATCAGATATCAATCTAAATTCTGTTCTTTTTTGCAGGCCGGTGCACCAAGAGCCCCTCCAAAGCCCATGTAAGGCAGATTTGATGATGCTGTACACCTGAAGAATAAAATCAAAAGTCTTTACAAAAACTTGATTGTGAAGCTCGTTATTCTCAACTCACCACTGGTTGTGTAGTTTAGGAAAGACAAGCCTGTCAAGTATTTTATTTGGAATAGACTTTCTTACAGTACAAAACTTACAGTAGTTTAAGATCAAATTACGCAAATGCATAATTACAATATGATACATTTCAAAAGGCTCTGCAGTTATTTAAAGCGATATCAGACCATTTACAGGATGGGAAGGTTAAAGAGTAAAACTGAAGGGAACAAATAGTGCAACAAGGAAAACATTTGAACACAAAATACCACAAAACTAGAGTTTCTTTTCTGAAGTACAGTCTTGAATTGGAGTAGATAAGTTTATTTGGTTGTCCTTATGTCTAAAACTGAAAAGTGGCGGGGGTGTAGGTTGAGGAGCAAACAGCATTGGTATCACATGCATCAGGTTTTGAAGCACATTACTGTCTAGTGTTGCGTGTATGAGTAAAAATCTACACCTGGAATTGAATGGGAAAGAGGGCTGAATATTTTCAGATAAAGTGACTTGTTCTTTGATTCAACTTAGGGATACAACTGTGCAGAGGGTTCATGTCATCTACCATTTTTGTACAATATGTCACACTTGAGGTCGACATAATGGCTAAAGGTTCAGGTCTCTAGTTCTTTGGGTCCTAGCAGTCTCCAATACCAAGTCCTTTTGTTGGTAAATCGGTTGTAAGAACAAATGTGGTTCTGGTTAGTCAGCGGTTACTGGAGGTTTTAGGTATGCTCTATAAACTTCTCAAAGATGGCCAAAATAATGTGGAACCTTTGTACTGTGTAGTACCTGCACCACATGATTAAGTGTTGACAAGCCAAGCTTTACACTTAATGTGATCATTTAAACTGCTGAGAGAAAACAAAAAGCAGAAAAGACCTCAAGCCAAAGGCACAATTGTAAAGTCTACACAGAAATCACACCTGGGCCTTTGTGTAAATGCAAGCTGTTTCCTACATCAGAAAATACACAGTGAAGTAAGATGTCATCAATTAGTCAAAGCATTATTTTCTTTTTGCTAATGCAAACTCAAATGACAATTTCAGTGATTTATAATGACAACTTTGGTGTCGAATCATTTAAAGACACTGTCAATGTTTTCTAGATTAGGTTGCAGGAAAGTACATCTCAGGATTCTGGGACACGTGTTTGATTTACTACAAACGTATGTCCCAACATGACCTAACAGTCTCTTTTCTTATATTAAGGCAAGATCATTTGATTATTAAATGAAATTACAACTTTGGAAGAGAAATATTTAACCATCTATTTCAGTTTGTTTCTGTACTGGTGAGCACCACAGTGCACTGTGTCTAAAAGTGACTCACTCTCTTTTAATCTCATCCAGCAGTGTGCACCAAAGCCTCTCTAACCATTTAAAACACAAGCAGCCCCACTTGAGAGCTTGTAACAATTCTTAACAAAAAAGCACATTTAAGGTAAACTTTTACAATATTTATTTCGAAAGGGAAACCCCAAATAATCTTTTATAAACGTCCTCTGCAAAAACTAAGTGGAGGTAACTCCTGGAAAAAGATACCATTTTAACATCTACAAGGTTTGTACTGACAGCAATGAAAACACAGAAATATTACCTTGCAGCTTCTTCCTAATCATACTGTATGTACAAATATATTCATTTACTTTCACTAATTTGTCATTTTGCCACTGTGATAGGGAAAAGTGCTTAACAGTAGGAAGTAGTGGTTCTTTGGTTCAGCCATGGGGGAACCATAATTTGGTACTATACAGAACCACACTTAGGGTGATCGCAAAATAAAAGGAAAGCCGAGTACTTTTTTTGATTCCTCTTCATAAAAACAATATTTCAGAGCTTCTGCGCATCTAGACCGCTCCTTAAAAATGTGACTTCAGCATATAACAGAACCAAGGAACCATTCACAACATTAAAAAGACCTTAAATCCATTTAAAGCCTTGAATGGTTCAGTCGTTTCTGTTCAGCTTGTAATGTGACATTTCTTTACGCTAAAAAAAAAATCAATTCAAAATGCCAGTTATGATAAACAGAGATCATTTTGTTCAATAAATAATTTCTTCTGTACTACAACAACTTTAATGGGCTCAAGTCAGTTTATGGTTTTGACTGTTGTCAGTATTTTTCCAGCCTTTAAGATCACTGGATCTCACTTTACTTTTGTGGCTATTCATAAAGGAGTACACAGAGATAAATCTAATCTATTAATGTCCTGTTTATCAACACAAATCAGATATTGATTTTGTGCCCAATTCTGTAATCTAGACTTGCCTGCTTAACAGTACAACTTATTGTGCTTAAAGTCAAATATACGACTATCTATCTATAGTTTTACCATGTAAACAGATAAAGACAGATTCAAGAGATGATCGTGTTCTTTTAACTAACACACTGCTCTTGACATACGTTTAATTTCTGCGCCGTAAGACAGGATATATTATAGATCACAACCGACAAAACCCCATTTTGAAATAAACGTGAAAATTTTTTTTTAAATCAAATGTTTTTTGGATTTAACCTGTGAGGACGGTTGTAAACTGCCACTCCACACTGCACTTATTCACGTCATAGCAGCATGTGCCAAACGCCATGCACATTTAGTCTTTGATAAATTAGCAGAATTGGGTTCTTTGCCAACACGTCGATGAAAATCAACCCAACTTTTGTTGAGGAGGAGAACATAAATATTGTGCAAAGCTGTAAGCGAGACTTGTGTCTGGAAAACAACTTGAGCGAGTAAATTATTCTGATCTCTAACATCACCCACAATGATTCAAGATGCGACAGTTGGGAGCTCATGTCCTTCAGTCTGGTCAACAAGGTGCGATCAGGGTGAAGAAAGGCACAATACAATGAGATAAAAACAGAAAAACAAAATGTAAAGTATAAATAGATTAGTGTTGGTTTGCAGTTTGATGCAGGTATGAAAGGGAAAATGTTAAAGACTTGTAAAGACCCTAACCTCTTCAATAATCTCTAAAATCGTGGCAGTGATACTCGTACTCCGTTCCCAGTGAGAAAAACATTCTGTCGGTTTTTCTCACATTTTGAGAGAAATGTGCAGGTCGTTAATGTATTCCATAAAATAGTTTAATATAATCATAGTATTCTGGCAGGTATCAGTGCAACAAAAGCAGTCATAGAAAAGAAAAACAAATGTTTCATACGCCGCGCCACACAGCATTCACACAAAGGCCTTCATTTACCACCTTACTTAGTCAGTTTACTTCCATAAAAACAGTCTGTCACGTTCTCCCTCTTTCTCACACACACACACACACACACACACACACACACACACTCTCAGAACTGTCCACCCCACCCCTGTTAAAAACAAAAGTGCATTTCTAATTCACGGACAACCCCTCAAACACATCTATTCAGACGAGGACCTGGTTTTTGAGTTTGGTCTGCACTTCACTTCAAATTATAAAAACAATCTATTACACAATCAGCCCCGGGTAGGAAAAAAAACTTTGCGGAACATTTAGGGAATCATTTCATTTAGAACAAGGCGTTAAAATCTCTACAGATTCCATTGTAGGTGAGCCTATAAACTTCACATTAAGCTTTTATGTGTTGTCTCTGTTAAAGTGCACAAGAATGGACCATTTTCAGGTTATGGACAAGAGTCCGATTTCTCTACCGTAGTTTGTGCATCAGGTTTAAATGCTGTATTTTGGAGCAAGGCACATCTGCGGATGAAAAAGTGCATTGGCTCTTCATCTACTTTAGAATACATTGAATTAAAAGTGCATTTTAAATTGATTACTTATTCAAAGTGCATTAAAAATAACGAGGACCACTATTATAATTTTAGAAACACACATATGAGATTGCCATTCCTGCTGGTACACACTAACTGTACCAGAGAATGTTTGAAATAATCGCATCAGTTTCATGTCATCAGTGTCTCCTTCAGCTTGTGTGCAGACCAAACTCAGCCAGGTCCTTGTCTCAGTTTAGAAAATCTCTCTAGATGAAGCAGGTTGACCACCCTTTGTCCTCAGTCAAGGATGTGCTCCCCGCGGACGATGTGTGAAGAAAATTCATAGCGGTCCTGGCTGCGGTGGCCACAGATGTTACACTCAAAAGGCTGGCGAAAACCGTGGCAGCCCATGTGGATGGTAAACATGACATGGTCTAGGAAAAGCACACGGCAGTGCTCGCATCGGAAAGAGCGCACAGCTCTCCCCTCCCCGTCTACGACCCGAAACGCCTCCCGAGAGGTGGAGGAGGGTGCTGTGGGTGAGCTCGGAGTTGGAGCGAGGGCAGGAGGTGGGGGAGCTGAGTGGCCCCCGTCCTCTCTTTCCATCTCCCTGTCTTTGGCGTGGCTGGGACTGTGTCTGTCCCGACTCCTGTGGTGTGCGATGGGAGGAGGTGCCGGGTGGTGGCTGTTGGAGTGTTGAAGATGATGGCCGTTGTTACTGTGCAGGGTTTGAGGCGGAGCGGTACTGTTGCAAGGCTCATCTGGCATGCTCTCTGTGTCCGTAGAGTCCTGGCAACCGTTGCTAGGTGACGGTGCATGACTTCGACCCGCGGGCAGGTCTTCATGACCCTCCGCTGCCTCCCTTCCGCCTACACCGGCAGCTCCCAGCCCAGCTCCGGTCCCTGTGCAATCGAGCCTCGGGCCAAGAGCGACGGAGGTGTGAATAGAGCTGTGGATTGGCCTGAGTTCTGATAAGCATGAAGGGTGAGTGGTGGGAAGGTGTAGAGGCCTCAGTGTGTCTGAAACCCCTCCTCCTCCATTACCTGCTACACCTGCGTATTCTCCTCCCAGACCAGTAAAGTGTGGGGTTTCAAGGTCCCCTGCGTGCATCTCCCCATCTTTATCCAAACCAGCGCTGAGCTCATAAGGTGCATCTGCAAGGTTGAGGCGTATGTGCTTCTGTCCTGCAATGAAGAAACACAATCTTATGATACTGTCCTATGAGAGTCTGTGGAAGACGACAAAAAAACTGAAACTGCCCAGTTCGGTGAGAAACCTGCAAGTTTTTGGGATTCATTCTGGATGCCATAATTAGGTTGGAGGTCAGGACGATTTGTAAATTAAAATCAAGTTCCAATTTAATTTTAATTCAATTGCTCTTGTGTATAATAGGGTTTATTACAGTGAGGTTTATCATTGTTCACTTCATTATACTGTTTTTACCTCAGCCTGTTTTAGCTGCTATATCGACCACAGCTCTTCTGCCTCAGCTATGTGAAACTTCGATCAATAAACCTCAAAACAAAGCAGAGAAGACCCTGATTCATTCTGACATTTGGTTTAAATCTACAGCCAGTCACACAGCTTGGATACATAAAACTATGAAAACCTCTTTGTCACATTACTCGCACAAAAAGATCAGCACTATTGTATGTGGTTTCTGATTCAACCAATTTATGTGGCTTTCCATTTCCTCAACCTGTCCACACTGAGACCAAATGCTCACCTACAAATTTTTGAGGTGTGGATCTCTTGCGTTTGGTGATGCTGTTGGCCAGCCGATCGATAAATGCCATCTTGTCTGAGGAGGGTTGCAGTAGAGAGTCTGGTATAAACTCTAGCTCTCTCATCTCCTCTCCTGCAGAGTACAAACAAATTGTAATGTTATTTTGGGGGGGTTTCTTACTACTCAGACAGCATTTATCCCAAATGCTTACGTTGTATGCTGATTGTCAACGTTTGTATAGAAAAGGAACTAAATGATGTGTCCATTACCTTGTTAAGGAGGGAGACTCCATCTCTACACTAGATGCCACTACAGTCCCTTTGGAAATTGATATTTACGACACCATCTGGTGATTTTGGTTGCTGTCTTATCTGAGAAAATGTTGTATACGCTGGACATTTAACTGCACGAATGCCATAAAAGCGTACCTGGATTCTGTGCACTAGATGGCTGCTGTGACTCCAGACTCTGTAAGTAGCTGTGGCAGCGCTCACGGTGTTCCTCCAGGGTGCTCTGCTGCTTGTAACTACGGCCACAGTAACTGCACTTGTACGGCTTCCCAACGGTTGGAGAGGACACTGGGGACAGAGTGGGAGAATAGCATTATTATTGTCACTGTACAGCATCATAAGAAAAACAAAATCATTACTTATCCGGCTTGCATCTGTTCTACCTGCATGAGTGCGAAGGTGGCCAGTGAGTGCATCTCGTCTTCGACAGGCGTAGCTGCAGAAGGGGCATTTAAAGGGCTTTTCCCCTGAGTGCAGCTTGATGTGGCGGAGCAGATTACCCTTTTGAGTGAAGGAGGCGCCACACTGATTACACTGGAATGGACGCTCACCTGAGAAGAGATGATACCATCAACCCAACTTCTTTTATTACATCTACAGTGTCTGGTACATTAGTTCTCATGCAAGAATCATTCTTACAAACAGAGTTGTTCATGAGTGACCATGAATCTACATCTACAGGGGATAAAAATACCTGAAATTACACTGCCTTAATCTGAATGAATCTGAGTCTAAATGGGTCAGCGAAATTAACTAAAATAAAATACATCACTTAGACAAACCTAATGCAAAGTCAATATTCTGTTCCAACTTTTTTTTTCCTGCCATTGAGTCTTGATTAATGACCAGCTGGGTTTGAAAATACAGAGGTTCAACTCTGCTTAATTGAGAATATTTTTTCCAGTACTTGTACTAAGGCATACAATACAAAAAATGTCAGCAGAAAAAGATAATAAAAAAATTCCAAACCCCAAGACGTGTTCTGTATATAACCTATTCTCTTTCACAGGGATGACTGACGTAGTTATTGTCTCTAAAAGATAATTTACCTGATGTTTAAATGGAAGCTTAAACTTAGACAAGTTGACCAGTCATTAAGTAAAAACACCCAGAAAACCGTCAAAAATTGAGCACAATTTAATCTACAAGGTTAAATTACATCTGATAAAATATTGCATGTAAGAGCTTTTTGAAATTGTTCATCACTTGTAACCAAATCGTATTTGTTATGCCTCTGAAATGAGTGGCCCTTTGCACCGTGCATTATGAACATTGCACACTATCCTACAAAACATGACAACAACTCACTAAACAGAAGTTTACAAATTACTTCTATTGAACACAATATTCTTTCAGAAAATACATCTTTCAGCATTTTCACTGGGTGAACACAATCGTATAAAATAATCACATTAATAATAAGTTTAACCAGCTAGTGTTCCTGGTGCTGACTAGCGAGTGTAGCAACATTAAATCAACTATTTGACTAATCGCGCCCATCCCTATCTGAAATAAACAGATCAGTTACCTGTATGGCTGCGTTTGTGCACCATGAGAACATTAGGCCCGATGCAGATCATTCCACAGATGTCACACTTGAGTTTTCCATTTGGCAGTCTGGTGGCTCCAGCTTGCATGGTCTCAGGATTGGTGAGCTCCCTGTAGCCTCCGACAGCCTCAGATCCCTGCTCTGCACCTCCTTCCTCTACCCGCTCCCCTCGTTCATCCTCAGTACTGCGCCCTGGGTCTTCATCGCTGTACAGCTCCACTTTAATGGAGTTAGCTACAGAGGCATACAAGCAAATAGAAAGAAGGCCTTAATTTAAATATAATAGTAACAACTTAAAAATAAAAATCATTGTGTTTGCAGTAACTTAAAGGTAGGATCTGGAGGATTTTCAAACAAAACAAAATATAGACATATACAAATGAAATCCTACTTAATCATCACCTATGGGCTTCTACTCATGTGTGGTGGTGACTCTGTTTGCAGAGCTCCTGTCCTTTAACTGTATTTTGACGTTTTTGTGAGCTGGACCGCTTCTGGGCGGAGATTTCCCCAGCCAATGAGAGAGCGCAGGTGCCGTGCCCGAGCGTGCACCAGCACGAGCCTTGCCTGAACCTCTTCTGTGAAGCCTTCTTCCATACCTCTGGGCTCCATACACCCGGGAGAGTTGAGCCTGATAGGAGGGGCCAAATTTGAATGTGTGTTTACAAACAGCAACTGGAAAATCCTCCAGACCCTACCTTTAAAATGTTTTATTTTGTGTTTTTACTGGTTGAAATCACCAGGTCTGTTTATTTTAGAAGGAGGAGACCTCTGCGGATAATTTGGCTCCTGCTAAGAACCTCCTGAACAATGAACACTGAAAGAATTCTAACCTGGAGAAATTTCAGCTGGTTGCAATCTGCAATCCTCGCTGCTAGATGCCACTAAATCTTATGCTTCTTAGTCTGTCAACCAGGGTGTTGCTAATTTTAAGAGCAAGAGAAAACAGAGCGTGTACAGGCTCACGTCATTACTTATGTGATAAAAGTAGGGATGCCTCTTGAAGTAAAATTCCATCTGATATTATGAGATATCTTAAATGCGATCTGAAGAATAAAATAATCATACAAATGTTTGTACACCTTTGCGTAACCTCTGAAAACATTTGACTTATCACAGTAAGATGTATTATTATGCATTACTATATGTCCTGTTGTATTTTGGGAGCTTAAAAAAAGAAGAGGCTGGAATAATTAAGATTTTGCAATTTGATTAACCAATACATAGTCTATTTTGTGGGATTCACACTTATTTTGTCACTGACCACTGAGCGAGCGACTGGGAGAGGTCTCCTTGCTGTTTGGGGTGCTCACTGTCGGACCTCCAAGGGCCCCAGAAAACTCTCTTTCCATTGAGGAGTCTCCACTAGCTGCAACCACAGAGGACACAAAAACAAGATCTGTCACTTGAACCACACACCAACCACTGACAAAATGTATTTCTGTGAAAAGAAAAAGCTGAGTCCTACCTGATATGTAAGACCGGCCATTGCAGTCATCAACATCCATACTAGTTCAAGCTGAATACTGAAATGACAGTTGTGCAAGATGTTAAGATTAAAGTGAGTAATCCCTTTAACACATTCACTCAGGCACCAATTCACTCAAACATAACTTAACATCATATCAACTGTGTGTCCTGCAACCCATTACTACAACAATTACAGCAAATCATACAACAGTTACTGACATTAACATCACATTATGAAATTTAACTACCTGGTGCACAAAATATTGCGATTTCACACACTGTCAATGACTAGAATATAGAAAATTATACTAAAGGCAGGCGTGAATGGCAGCTAACAGCCGTCAACTTGGCGGTGCAATTAAAGTAAAGCCATGCATACATCAGCTGCAGCAATATGTAACTATAACATTAGCTCCTATGGCTTACAATAAATATGATAAAGATTAGCTGGTGTAGGTAAATGTATTGTAGCAGGAAAGGCAGCTAAATAAGCGCCAACTCTACCCTTAGCAGCCACAGATCAGCTGATTGACTCAGTCACCCATTACCCAGATTGACCCATGACAGCATTGATAAAGTAACTTCATGTTAAACTAATCTAACGTTAGGCTCCTCTGAGACAAATCAATCTGACATCCAGATCGTAGGAGAGAAACATAGCGTTTACTTTGCCGTTTACATAACGGTGGCGTTGAGGTAACCTAAGTTTACGGGTCGGCCTCGGTGGCTAACGTTAGCTTACAGCATGTGATGGAAATTACCGTTAGCCAAGTTAGCTGAACTCAACAGTGCAGCATTACAACAGTCTGCCATCCTCGGCAGCTTACTGAAAAGCATGGCGCAAAGTTACAGCTAAGTAATATGGGCGATGACGCAACGTAGACAACGCTGACTTGTAACATTAATTTGCCGACTGGCGCTAAATTAGACAATCAAGTGTCTACGACGTCTTGTTTATCGCTAGCATAACAAACCGACGTTAGCCTGAACTATCTTAGCTAGCTAGCCAATGTTTCCCAGACGGTTGCTATGGCACCCACCCCCTCCCAAATGCTATGGCTAGCCAGCTAGTGGTTAGCTAGCTAGCGTGTTCTCCCAGAAGCCTTAAAGCTGACATTTCCAACACGACACGGCGGAGGCAGTCGGCTGTGAGTGTGCTTTTAAAGTTGTCCGGTTCTCCCAGTAACCGCTGCATTACCTGTCCCTGTCAGGGCCGTTTCAGTGAGGTTATTCTGTATTTTCATCTGCCTGTTTATGACGGCAGCATCTCCCGGCAGCGCTTCCCTCCAGCTCCAAACAATTTCCGGTTAGATCCAAAATGTGGCTGCCTATCAACCGCAAGCAGTGAGTGTCCTTACATGAACCCCGAATCTGTCTGTATGAAAATCCACGACACAATTTAATTTATTCAGTACGTACACACACTGACGTCTAACAGATTGAGCGGTGAGCTGTGTTTTTGATTAAGATCGCACCACTATCTTTAAATATACAGACACATAGTCTCAATCTAAGGCTGCAGTAAACATCTATCTGCAGCTATAACGTTACACAGATTTGCTGGATCTGTTTTTGCCTCATTGCCTCTATACCCACCACTTTAAGCCTGTGCAGTATTCCAAGATTTATATTGCTTTTCTTAGCTTTGCTTTGTTGGTCTTTAATTTCATTGTATGTCTCTGTCTTACTTTATATAATCTCTCTTGACAGTATGTCTGCACTTGTTTCACTTGCTCTGTTGTGACCATATTGTATCTGATGATCCATATGCAGACAGCTTTAAACATTTTAATAACATTTTGTCCGAATGCTGCTTACTTCTGTTTACATCCCCAATATTTGGGCAGTGGGTGCTCAAAACTGTCTCCAAAGAGAAAAAACATGTTGCCCTTTTAGAACACATGCTGGGATCCAAGACGTGCCAAAAGAGTCTTTACAATTTATCACCCTCAACTATCCTATCTGGAGTGTTTGAATAACTGTGTCTGTGACTATGTTTTATCCTCAGTATACAAAGAGCTCATTCAAAAGTAGGGCTTGGTATCACTAACATTTTTGATACCAGTGCCAATACAGTGCTTCAGTTTTGATCCCAAATAAAGCATACCAAAATTATATATTTATTGATACCACAAGCAATGGAATAAAAGGTCTTTCAATAGAAACCCTTATGTAATGAATGAATTAAACTTTAGAAATGCACCAGTTTTATGTTGTTTAACCAAAGTCAACCATGCAAGGACTTTGCTTAAAATTTGCAGAATTATTTAAGTCTAGAAATATTTGATCAAAGGGTATGTCAGCAACACTTTTGGTACTCAACAGTATCAGTGCTCAGTGGTGTTTTGATCATGGATGGATTACTGAATGGACCAGCCCATCCATCCCAAAGGGACACAAAATTACTACAAGGAGACACAACATGACCAAAAAGAATAACATTTTCTCAAAGACACAAAACAACTACAAGGAAACACAAAGCCACCACAGAGGCTGAGAGGTGTTGGGGCCTTTTGCATATCTGTGCAGGCATTTTGATTGGTATTCAAAGACTATTGAGGCTTTATACCAAGCCAAGTCTGAAAATGTTTGTGCCAGCAGTGCAATGACTGGCACTGGAGTGAATAACCCTGTATGCTGGTGGGCCTTCAACAAAGACTTGGCATCACAAATTTTGGTACAATACAATAGTTAATGAATTTATTTTCGCTGTGGCCTGTGTTAGAAATAGCTCCATTGCAGTATTTGTCTATGTTCCAGGAGCCCATTAGATTGGGTTCACTGATTTAGGGTCAAATAGACAAGAGTCAGGGGTGAGACTCAGAGGATCAAGTGGAGTAGATGGGTGTGCATAAAGGCATTTAGTGTCTCAAGACAATACTCTTTAGTTCACAAACAAAAATTAGGTGAACATACTGACTATTTGAATGTGAGAATATCATTTGGGCATTGCCTTTAATTGACAGGACAGTTAAGTGTGAAAGAGGGAGAGAGAGAGAGGGAGGGACACGCAACAAAGGGCCACAGGCTGGAATTAAACCGGGGCCACTGCTCAAGAATATTCTATTTTAACCAGTAAACTCCAAAGCAGTCACCAGATATGTGCCTAATATTAATATCATCTGAGACATTTTTGCAAGTGACAATCATTAAGATAGTTTTAATGAGAGAATTAGCACAGACAGTCTCTTCAATTGTAAAGTGAAATGTGGTCAATTTGAACATTGCTGTGGAGTTTTCATTCACTGATAGATTTTTATTATGACAGTATTTGGTTTACTTGATTTGACTGAAAAAAAAAAAAACATACCACAAGGTTCCAAGTCTGAAATTATTTCATTAGGGTATCTGATTGTAAACATATGTGACTGAAAACAAGACAGTGGGAGAGCTACAGAGGGGATAAAGACTGGAAGTTAACAGGTGATACATCTATTGTGAGGGGATAATGTTTCCCCCCATAATTAAAACTTAGGTAAACAGATAGCAAAGGCACCTCTTGGTTTTATGTTGGTGCCAGGATATTCAAACATGGTAGACCTATTATAGAAAACATAAGTTAGTAAGTCATTGCTTTTTGTGCTGAATTATGTGTATGAATAAGCATGCTGCTATTTTTTTCACTTTTATTATTAAACAAGATTTAGGATACATTTCTTTCATTACATGTTGACATGATAATAGAGCAATTTAGGTCAGGGTCCTCCCCAAACAGATATAGCTTCAGTATATTTGCCTATATCAATCATCTGAGGTAGATGGAAGGTCAGATAGGGACACCAAAATATAGCCTACAATAAACATTGAGCTATTTAATTTCTACACACTAATAGTATCATCCAGTCAGATGGGTTTTCCTGGAAATCTGTTCAGATGAGGTTGTGACTAAACATCTGTCTATGATCTTTATAATTAAAACCCCCCTTCATGTTTTAGTTTAGTTTAGTTTATTCGGATCCCCATTAGCTGTTACCGTAGGCAACAGCTACTCTTCCTGGGGTCCACACAAAATAAAAATACATACAATATAGCATAAAATAAAATGACAAGAAAATCATAATCCATACTTAAAATACAGATTAAGAAAATCCAAATTGTTTTTTTTTCCATGTTGTTTTTTATTGAAACAGTGGAAACAAACACTTGTTGATATGAAGGAATGTAGATTTTCAGCGGTGATTGTGGTCTGAAGGTCAGTCTGGAAAAGTCTAAAAAGGCTGGCTGTCAGAAACACGCTGGGACGCACAAAGAGTGACCTCTGCTGTACAAATTGTCCAGAAAGCACGTCCATGTCAGTTATGACGTATTCCCTGTTTTTACGACGGTGTGCTTACACAATGACAGTTTCCGTCAGCTTGACTTGCGAATCGTAACCGCGTTGAGCGAGCGTTTTCTCGTTTTCAATTTCAGCCGGAACGACAATTTCACCATTTAAAACTATCGATCGATATCGATTACAGCGCCAGATAAAGAAACAGACATTTTTTCGAGATAAGTACAAGTTGTACTTGCTGTACTTAAACTCTGAACTTCCAGCTCGAGGCCCAGCAGAGAGCTCGAGCGGCAGCTCCGAAAAGTTTGTTGTTGTCACGTGATGTGAGACGAATGTGGCGATAAAAGTTTGTTTCGATAGTAAAACTAGGTGGCGTACTACGTTATTAAAACCCAACGAACACCGTTTGCACCGAAATGCCTCAACCAAAACATCGAAAGATTGCTGTTATAGGTTACAGGTCTGTAGGTGAGTAAAGCGCACGAGCTCGTGCATAGCTAATGTTAGTTAGCTAGCATGCTAACAGGCTAACGTCCTGGCTTTGTCTTCCTCTTTAGTATATCCCACTAACACCAGTAACCCTAGATCGCCTGTGTTTATGTGTTTTTGTTCTACGTGTGTTTGGTGTCCAGTTGATTATTAAATCACAATAAAATTGACATTATCATATCGTGTAGCTACAGCCATCTGTTAGTAGTTGTAACGTGTTCTGTGAAAACAAAGTTAGCTCAGCCGGTAACATCCTGGTAGAGAGCCAGGGGAGTGTGTCGAAACTTTCAGTCTCGCATGCCTAACATAGCAAGTATGCAATGTCCACAATTTAAGGAAACCACCATGTAACCTTACTCGACCTTATACCAAGTCGTTTATATTTTAAAATGTCCTTGTGTGGCCGGTGCTGCGCCAAAATACGAGACCGATCAGGTTCTCTGAGCTGTATTGCTGTTTCAGACGTTATCATCCTATCACATTATTTATTTTGATAGCAACCATTGTCAAAAACGGTGCCTTATTAGCATTTAGATATGGTCACAAACTGAACCCATAGATGCATAAAGGATCACAAATTGTGATAGCAGAATCTGTGTGTATCTGAAGAGCACTATCACTATGTGTTGATCCTTTCTGTGTCACATGCATCAGGGGTCAGCAACCTTTACTATCAAAAGAGCAATTGTTGACCAAAATTAACTTCAAAAATCTGGAGCTGCAAAGTATATTTAAGCCCTATAATGGAGGTAACACAGCCCATGAAGTCTAAATTAACCTAGCAACATTACTAATAGGTCCAAATGAACATTCATTAATATGTGTCACCAGGTGGCTCCTCTGCAGTGGGCTGTTTATAATTATTTGGTACACACCAATCTGTCCACACACCTATAAATGATCTATTTTCCTCGGGGAATTTTACTTTTTTGGATATGAAATCCACAGCTAGACTTGCTAGGGAGACATAAGACGATCCACTACTGTTAAGGTTTGGTAAAATTCAGAGGTCAAAGTGTTAGGCTGTAGACCTATGATGCACTTTTTAGTTGATGAGGAACATTTTTTAAAGTCAGTGTATAGGCTACACATTTTTACAATTGCAGAATGTAATCATTTCTTTAGGCCAACACCAATGATAAATGAAAATTGAAATGCTAACAAAATAACCGTTTTTCATTTCCATATGATTTTTTTTTTTT